CTTGAAAGGGGTTTTCTTTCACCAGCTTTCCTTCAGAGAATAGTAAAAACAAGAAGCCCAAAATAATATTTCATACAAGCAGTAAATTTATGATTTTTCTCTTGTAAAACTCAGTAGACAATCTCATCCTCCATCCTGTGACTTTTGTTAAAGCCAACGCCACTATTTAAGAATTGCTAAGTGGAGAGCATATAATTAGTTCCTATTTCATCTATTAGAAATGATCTGAATTTAACTTCGAAGTTATCTCATTACTGTCACATTTGCTTTTAATTAAGCATTTTATGCAAATTCTGATTTCATAGCTTGCTGTTATTAGCATACAAATGTAAGCCAATAATACATTCATTATTCTCTTTAAAGGATTAAGTCAGGCCATCCATGGATTAATGAGTAGTAAAAACAAATCTGGAATTTCAGTTGCCACAAGCTCCTCTACAATGTCTGCTTTGCTGGAGCGGAACCAACTCAGAAGCTCTTTTGTATTAAAGGGATCATCAAGTTCTGAATCAGCCAGTGGACAGTTCCCGCTGACAGGCCAATAAAATAGGACAACAGTGGACGCTGCTTTGAAGTGGAACTCCTGGAGTGGGTGGGACATAGTTTATGGGGCTATTTCATCCTAACTTTAAACTTCGAGTTTCTATGTTAAAACACAAAAGTCAACTGATTACACTGTACAGATCTTATTGGCTTTCTTCAATAATTTATGAAGAGACTAACCTCCAATCTACTGGTGAGACAGGAGCGCTGAAGAGCTGTAAAAGGAAGACTTTTAGAAACAGGAGACAGAAGTAAGGATGTCATGCCCGGGAGAGGAGGTCACTTCCTTTGGGGGGACAGGGCCTCCCCAGACTCCCTCCTGGTGCTGGGAGGCCACTCCCGAGGGTCCACTGCATAGTTCTACTTGTGCAAGAGACAAACTCCAGCTAGTCCCACTCGGGTGACCAGGGCTTGGAGGGGCGAATCCATTTTTGTTTTAAACGTGTCTAAATAATTATCCACTCTGCATACTTCTAAAATGTTTCTGTTTTCCGGTGCTTTTAATAATGATTGTGTGTTGGTGGTTTCCTGTAAGAGAATGAGAGCAGATGAGATTTTTTTCTGCGTTGAAGTTCAGAGGACTTCCAAATCCCAGTAACAGACATAAAATCTCTAGCTTCGTAAGAGATGAAGCCAGGAAATGGCTCCTGCTTGGGGTCGGGGGGCCAGGTGAGCTGCCCAGTGGGGGCTGTTTTCCCATCACGCCCTCCTCCTAGCCCTGCCTGCGCTCACCCGGGGCCCCAGCACTTCCTCACAAAGCTTCTCCTTAGCGATGCAAACAGCTCACAGAACACCTTTCTAGTTGTCCTTTGCCGTGAAGAAGGTAGAAAACAGCATTCCATGAAAAAGCCAGGAAGCGAAGCCCGTCCTCTTCATAAAGGATCCCCATATAGTTCAGGCAGAGGAGAGAGCGCCAGGCCCAGCAGGGTCCTGCTCCCGTGGCCCAAGCAGTCCATTAACCTCAGCCAGCTGAGGAAAAAGGACAGAGTCACTGACAGAAGCATAGTGAATCCGTGCAGAGGTGGAGTCCAGGGCAGGGAGGAAAGCGGAGCAGGCCCCAGCTAAGGGATGGGCAGGGCCGGGGACTTCAGGAAGAGCAGGCACCCTGGGGCTAGGGACTCAAGCGACCAGACCAGCGTCAGCTCCGAGGAGATGTGCTGAGGTATCAGTGTCAACTGCGTTCACACTCTGGTGAGAAAGGGACAGTAGCATCCGCCTCATTCGAGCAGGCATGGGATCTACGACGAATGGAGAGAGGCACCAGTCTCCCCCCTAGCTTGCTGCCCTGCGGCCTGCCCTTTCCTTTTGTGATCTGCCCCTCCAGCCCTGTGCAGCCAAGGGCTGATTTAAGACAGCCACAAAATAGGTCACTGAGGTGAAATGAACCTTCGCTACTGTGGCCCCATACCTTAGCGAGCGGGACAGGGCAAGACTGGGCCCTTGCGCTGAAACCACGGGTGGGCTCCCACCTCCACCGCTTACCCACACGCCGCCACAGAATGTCCACCAAGGTCATCTCAGACAGAACGACAGCATCGTTTGTCCCACATATCAAATACCTACTTGGATGAATTAATTCATTTTGATAGATCAAATGCCGATGGCCCACTAAACAATGTGATACTTTCACAAAGAAGAATAAGCTTTGAGTCCTGTCTCACCAGCTAATATGGTAGTCTTTGATAATGTTCCTCACTGTAAGATCCACTCAGTTTTCTCTCTGTCTTCACTATAAATGAGGCGATTCTATGAAAGGATTTTACAGGCAGAAGAAAGCTGGACACGTCACATGGAAATATCTCAAATATTGTCTGGTCTGCCCCTAAGATAAAGGCCCACAACAAAGACCCAAAACCTCAGTCCCCACTATGTCAACAATTCTGTCCCTCCAACCTTAAGTCCACCTCCGATTTCATCCCAACCAGTTCACACGGAATAGATGACACTTGGAAAGATTTGCTTTCATTAGCCAAACTCAGCGAGAACTGACATTGAGCCTGTGAGGACGCAGAGTGTCCCGGTAACTGGGTGGCTTCCTCGCCCTCCCGCAGCACCAGCACCAGGCGTTCGGGAAACAGGGCTGATGAGTCTGTGTGGTGTTTATAAAGTCACTACATTGTGATAATTTATCTGGAACACCAAATATTCAGAAGTAATTTCTGGACTGTTTGAATGTATAACTTTATTCTTTCTTCTGCTAGAATATCCTTTCTTGCTACCAGCTGGGAAAATAGGAAAATATTAAATAAAATGTCTCTAAGATTATAGCAGGGTGTCTAATAAAGAAGAAGGATTGAATTACAAATGCATAGGGAAAAGGTTCTGCTGGTGGGTGGTATTTGTATTTTCAGAGACAACATTTCATGGATCATAGGTTCAAGCAAATACCCATTGTACTAGACATTAAGTGCCACTTAGCAATAGTGATAGAGAAGTAGAAAACATCTGGTTGTGGATAATGAACCAGAGCTTCTAAGCTCCCTTGGATGCTAATAGCATGGGGCAAAGGTCAGGGAAAAAGGCCATCTGGCTTCCTACATAAAGATGTGCAGAGATCTTCCGAGCCCTGCAAATCACCGGCATATTCGTTAAGTTAGCAGCAGGTAAGAAAATCTAGTAGGTAGTAAATATTTAAGCACCAGTTTCAAATATCTAACATTAATGTATTTCATTAGCATGGAGGCTACTGAATATTAAATTTGCATCATAAACTAGTGAAACATGAAGGAGGTAATAACGAGTCACATATTCACAAACTCTATTATGAAAACAAGACAAATGATGGCCCAAGTGGTCCTGGCTGAGGGGGTGTGGATAAAATTATACCTTACAAGAGATTTGCTGCCAGGAAGTAGTATTTTCCTTTTCTGGTTTTTCCTTAATGTACCTTCATCCTATTTCTATTGAAAATTACACATGCTACCATGCATGGAAAGTTAAAGATCATTTCTTTTACTCAAAAGATTAAAAAAAATAAGGCACAGCGCATCTACTCTGTCAGTCGTCAAGCGTGGCTGCCGGCGCCCAAAGAAACCGACAGGGCAAGGAAGGGAGAGCGCAGTTGTGGAAAAACATGACAATGTTGCCTCTCTGGAGACGTGGGGTAAGGCCCGCGCGAGCAGAACTGTTATAGGGCAACCCCGATACAAAATGGGGTGCCTGACTGGGTCCTCACCCGCGCGCTTCAAAGGACTTATCAATGCTCTACCGCAGGCGCACGCGAAAGGTTCATAAAAGGTTTATTGACAAGGGAAGGGGAGATGAGGAAATGGACAGCTCAGGGAGAAAAGTGGGAGACAAAGTTTTAAATGCGTCTACCCAATCCGCCGATCTGGAATCCCAAATGGCACCTGAGAGCTGGCCGCGAGCCAGGAGCCTTGAAGCAGGAGGTGAGAGAGTGACCCCAAGGTCCATGTGTTTGGTTTTTATACCCAACCTGGCTGCCCAACTCCACCCTCAGGTCCCAGCCACCTTCCCTTTGGTGGTGACGGGATTTGTCTTTCCCAATGTCCTGATGGCTTTGGTCTGGAGTGGGGGTGGCGTCCACAAGCCTGTATGGGATTAGCTCAGGGCATCCTGTCCCCCTAACAGAAGCACACACTGTCCTTCTGGAAATGGTCACGGAAAGTCCCACAGGAAGAGCCATCGCCGGGATCAGGGTCCCGTGGAGAACAGATACTTGCAAAGAGTCTTTGCTTTACCAGCTTTTGGCTTCGGGCCGTTCTCCCGTGGAAAACACTGACCCGCAGCTTCAGTCAGCTCCGCCCTGCCGAGCCCACGGGCGCCTCCCCCCACCTCGGATCCCTGAGGCCTTCGCCTGCTCCACCCCCGGCCGCACCCTCGGCGTCCGGGCCCGGCTCTGCCCTGAGAAGCCTGTCAGGAGGGGCCCCATGTCTCCCCGACTCCCGCCCCGACCCAGACTTCCCGTCTCCGCTTAGACATCTCCCCCACTGAGTGTCCGGGCCGCCCCCGCCTCGGCCCCGCGTGGTGAGGTTGGGGCCGCGCCCAGGTCAGCCCCGCTGCTTTCCCGGCCGGTCGCCGCTGCGCGCCGGCCTCTGCGGGCTCCGTGGTCTTGGACAGCCGCGGCGGCCACAAAGGGTGACGCGTATGTCCAGCCCGGGCTGGACCAGAGACGAAAACTTACCCGGAGAGGCCACGGCGCTCCTTGTCCTATGGGTCCTGAGGCGCCTGACTTTAGTACTCCCGGCCCCGTCTCCACCCCTCAATGAAGCTCCCCGAGGCGCTCTCTGGAGCCCCCATGCCAGGGGCCCACGCCACCTCTTCTCTCCTGTGAGAACCTGACGTGGGCCCTGCGCTCCAGCGCCTCCTTCCCAGGGCGGCTCCGCTTTGTTCGCGCCCAAGTTGTGAGGACGCCATGTTGTGAGGACGCCATGTTGTGAGGACGCCATGTTGTGAGGACGCCATGTTGTGAGGACGCCATGTTGTGAGGACGCCATGTTGTGAAGATGCTGTGGTTGGGCAAGTCAGCTGAGAGGTAAGCGGGTTTAACAGTGGTGTTTTATTTAGATGGTTTTGATCTCATGTAAAATTGTATTCTGTGATAATTCATGCATTGCTAAAATGATTAAAATTTAATAAATTACTTTCTTATGTAAGTAGCATTAAGATTAAAAACCTTGTTCTCGGTGCAGCAGACCTCTCCTGACTCGCCCACTGCTCCCCTCAGCGGTTTGTTTCGGTCATTCTGCCGTTTCTGTTCCCCACTCTGTGTCTGGTGAATTCTCTCACCCCTCCATACCTCTGGCCTGCACCCCAGTTCTTGTATGCATAAATAAATAAATCTTTTAAAAAATAAAATAAAAACCTTGTTCTCATTTGGCACTATTAAACACCTGAGGTTTAAAGGGACTTCATTGCAATGTCTTTCTTGAAAGATATTATTTCTTAAATATTTACTAAGGTCAAGTTTAAAAAAAAAAAAATGACATTTCTGGTAGCTATGTTGTCTTAGGAAGCAATAACATTTATAGTAAGCTACAATACACATGCTTTTAGTTATCATCAAAAATTCTTCAAACAGAATACCCATCAGTTCCTTAAAGGTTAACTTCTAAAAGAAATTCATCATTAAATAAAAGGACTCTACTTTATAAAAGTTCACGGCAATTTCTGTACTTGTCTGCAGAGTAAAGTGTTCTTTACAGCAAAAGCCAGCATCCTCCTTTTTATCAACTAGTTTAGCTTGCAGTTTTCAACTTTACTGTAATCTGCTTAATTGAAAATATAATTTTGATTTTTAAATTTATGTCATATATATATTTTAAAACTTTGCTAACCTATTAATTTTCCACCAAATCTTTCCTCATTTATCTGACAAGAAAAAGATTGAAGTCAACTTCCTAGTCAGTAATTTTAGATTAAGTGAAGTGGCAAAATAAGAAGTACATGCATAAAGGAGAAATCATCTTAAAGTTATGTCAGCCTGCATTGAAATGAAGACATGTTAATGAAAAAGTTTGTAACCAAGTCTATGGAGATTAATGAAATCTGGTAAATTGAATTAAGGGGGAAACCACCTGACCTCTTGATTGAAAAAGAGACCCATCATGTCAGAAATAAAATTTGATCATTTGAAGTTCAAATTTGGTAAACTAGTATATGTTTCTCATACTTGGAGTTCTTCAAAATAAGTGTAGCATTTTAGAATAAAAACAGCATCTCTGGCCTGGTGGTTTTAAGTATGCCCTTGACATGTCTGGGGACAGTTTCATTCAGTTGATCTTGCTCATCTGCCATTGAAGATTGACCTTCGTCCTCTTGGAATTCAAGATAGGAATCGGAAAGATGAGGTCGGAATCAGATGAGAAGCTATTCAGGGAACACTTCAGGCAGTCCAGACAGAGTCAGGAGCTAATGGACAAGACAGTGACAGTGAGAACTGGGAAAACTGATTAGAGACTTCCCCCAAAAACAGTAAGCTAAGTGGCCTGCTTGGCTACTTGGTAAAAGGTCAAGGGAAAATCCAACTTTATTGGCACTGTCTTACTGTAGAACATGTGGTAGCTAATAAGCAGGACAGTGAAATGGAGCCATTTCTTTCCAGGGAAAGGTGCTCACCTCGTTTAATTCATGCTGACTTTGAAATGATGTGACATTTACAGGAATGTGTCCATTGAGTAGAGTGTGAAGATAAAACCCCACGACTTATGTCTGCTCCTGTTCGTGGATGCTAAGATAGGAAATGGTGGTTGAAGAAAAAATTAAACTTTGAGAAGTTAAAGTAATTAACCAGGCCTTGTTCCCAAGGAGGCAGGGAGGACTTAGCAGCCTGTGTTAGCAGTTAACTGTAGAAAACCAAAGTCTGCTGTCGATGGCCAACATGAGCAGCTTGGGGAGATAAAAGTGGGAATCTGCAAAATGTTTTATTACAGTTCAGGCTCACGATCCATGTCATTCTTTTTACTTTTTATTAGTAGATTTTATTTTTTAAAGCTGTTTAGGTTTCAAAGAACAAGTGCAGAGTATACAGAGTTCTCATGTACCCCCAAACCCCGCGAACACACAGGATCTCTCCTGACTCATAGCTAGTGCAGTGTGGTTCTACTGTCAGAACCCATGAGTCACTACTGGTGCACTATATTATTAGCTGAATCCCACAGCCTGCATCGGGGTCCATCCATCTATAGCCATGGGCTTCGTGACATGAGCCATCATCATCAGTATTACAGAGACACTTCAGTGCCTTTAGCCTGCTCTGACATCACTCCACCCACCCCCCAAGCTCTGGCGTCCATGCGTCATGTTAGTCTTACCACAATTTTACCTTTAACAGAATAAAGTTGGAGGCAAACAGCAGGCAGCCTTTTCAGACTTTCTTTCACTCATTAAAGGTTTCTCCACTCATGGTGCTGGCATGGGAGGCTTGAGAAGAGTCCTTTCAAGCACTCACTGCACAACAGGCACTTCACAGGGGGTGGCAGGTGGGCTTCTGACTCCCTGAGTCACAGCGACTTCTCTTTACAGTGACTCCCCCATGAGTGCAGGCCACATCATACACCCCTTTATTTTGTCTGCTCATCAGGTGGCAGAATCAATCACAGTTTCAACTTTGTGGCATCCACAAACATCTTACCACATTCTTGAACCCATGTCCCGGGAAGTGAGAACAAAACCTGAGTCTTTTCTATAAAATGGATAACAACGAGCAGGAGACGTGCCCTGTCTGTCTCAGGGGGAACAATTTGGGTGCTGAAGCAAAGCAGGGTTTTAAAGCCTCTCCATGCTCATGCCACACCCCTTCTTTCATAATTAGCACTGTAGACACTGACCCAGCCTCAGAGCAGGACTAATTAGTTGAGAGGGCTGGAGGTGCCCCAACTCGCTGTAATTTTTGCTCAGCGGGTGAGAGGCCCCTGGGAGGCCAAGTGATGCTGGCTGGAACACGGCTCAGGGAAGAGACCCGCACAGAGAGGCACGGGGTCATCAGTGATGATAAGTACAGAGAATTTCGGGTTCTGGATGGAAGCATTGCCAAGCGAGGAGTTGCGCCATTTCTGAAAAGGCAATTAAATTTGAAGTACCTCTAATTAACTGCTGGGGTGAAAAGGAGCCTCAGAAAGATAGTGGAGGAGGAATAAATCATGGGCCTCTAAGAAAAACATTGTTTTCTTCATTAAAATTCTTTTACTTAAATTTTCTACTAAGACTGAGGGCTGGCACAAGACACCTAATTAAAAATTCACACATTACCTATTAGTCATTTTTCAATCACAGTGTATAATGCCCTTGGAAAAGAAACTTCTGATAATGAATGTATTCCACCAATTAAAGTAACCCAGAAATGTCTTTGATTTACAATAAAGAGACCCTACTTGACAATGGAAGTAAAACTACTTGATTTGCAGTCTCTAAAACAATTTCAATCATTCTATACTTCTTTTCGTGCCAATTTCTATACTTAAATTGGGTATATCTTTATCGGGGAGCCTGTTAAAAGTAATTTGAGATTATGAGTAATCTAAGTGAAAAACACCCATTAAAAAATGTAGGATTTGTCTCATCTCCATTACATTCTTATTTGAAAAGCCTTCTACTTCCTCAGGAAAAGGTAAAAGGACAAATAATTGGGATTATATGTAATAATTGAAAGCTGCACTGATTTTTCAAACACTCTTCCTTTTTGAAAAGATTATAGAATTCATCTGGAATCAGAGTGATTGAAAAGGCATTTTCTCCCAAATGATCAATTTGCCTAACGTGTATTCATTCACATGGTTGAGAACATTCAGATGATTCTAATCAAAATATTAATAAATTAGAAAAGTAAATGCATTTGTATAATTTTACCAATGAGTGATACTTGGAAGAGCTGACGTTTAAGATCCCTATTCCCTTTGCATAATCAAAAATCAATTAAATTCATTATAATATTCATCAGAGTCTAGTTGGTTTTTAAAAAAGGTTTAAGGTAATTTTCTTGAAATGTGGGTAGGACTGGAGCAGAAAGAGAAAAGGGCATCCCACAGGGAGCAGAGGAGGGACGTGTTGGTGAGTGGGGAGCGCACGGGGGAGGGGAAAGCCTGACTGGCCGGCCTATTGGGGCCTGTGGGAAGTAGCGGAGAGAAGCTTGCCCCGTGCTGGCCAGTGCCTGCTCACCTGGGATGCCGTCAGCCTGCTCACCTGGGATGCCGTCAGCCTGCTCACCTGGGATGCCGTCAGCCTGCTCACCTGGGATGCCGTCAGCCTACTCACCTGTGAGTTTCGGGACGTGTCCGCCAGGCACATCGCGGCCCACGTCGATGGTCAACCGAGTGAGGAAAAGACACATCGGCACAGCTGGGAAAGGAGGGAGGACACAGAGGTGTCCCCGCTGTGAGTCAGGATGTGCCCCGACTTAGGAGAGGAACCTCAGGCCCCGCCGTACTTGGGGCCAGGAGAAGCCAGCCTGGCCCACCCACCCTGTTGGGAGCAGGATGGATTTTCTCGTTTTTTTAGTGCTGTCAATGCCGATGCTTCATGGCTCCTGACACAGCTGTGTCTGCACAAGGGCACACTGCGTTGCCGTCAAAGGAACCATGACGTCCAGGTCACAGGCCAGGACGCCCGGTGGCTCCCCGGCCGCACTCACATGGCGCTCAGACTGGGGCTGGCGGTAACTTTCTCCAGTGAACAGATCCTTTTGCTATAGTTAAGATAATAGCAGGGTGAGGCCGGTTCTCGTCTGTTAGCGCTGTGGAGGCTGCTCTTCCTGGAGGAGTGGGGACGCCGGCTCTCACTGCGCCTGGTAAACAACAGGAAGACTGCGAGGAACAGGAGTCCAAAAACTAGCCTTTCTAGAACATTCTCACATGCGGTTAAGATGACCCACTTCTGCAGCCCGTCGATATGTAATTAGCAGGCTGGCCAACTCTCCAGTGGGCTTGACCTTTACTGACCTCCAGCATGGCTTGGCAGGATGCCTTCTAGAACAGCCGTGTTTGCCTCCCCCACCTTAGATTTCACTTGGTGCATAGACTGGGGGCTCTCCAGACACCG